TCTGCTGGTAAGGGCCTTATCTGTATGGGCATTCTACAGAAATTTACTGCACTGAATATTCATGTGTGGTCTTATCCATGTTAGTCTTTGCTTTCTTAATTATTTTAAAGAACAGCTCCATTTGAATTCTTTTTTATCCAGATATTTAAATTTTAAAATTTAAACTGATATATTAAAAAGAAGTATATACAAAACAATTTATGAACTGTTTTGAGGGCATATGGATATCTAAAGAGCTTCCATTTTGTATTTAGTATTTTTGATATTTCTTATTGCATCTTTAACAGCATCAGTTGTAAGAAACAATTTTAGATCAAAGAGGTATATTCATAATTATTATAAATTACTAAATTATTACTGGGAATCTCATGATATGCAGCCAAATATCAAAGTTCCCAACATCCCTTTAATTGAATGTTTGTTTAACTCCCTTCTCCGCAAGGATTTCAAGAAGCAAGGTGGCAAGTGCTTCTGCTAGCACTCTTTGCTGCCCTATGTACTGCTCTGCTTTGATTTTAAAGGAGGAGAAAAAGGGATTCCCAAAACACTATTACATGAAATCTTTCAATCCACAACAAAGGTCAAAGGATTCCACACGTAGCTGTACCCATGGCACAACTACTTACTGCAGGTTTCAGAGGGATAAGGCAACTCTTAGCAGCACTTTAGCACTTTACAAGACCTTACAATTAAGATCTGCTTCTGAGGCATTCAAAGTCAGCCTCTTCCACCTCCAGATCTTACCTTTTTCACATTTCTCTCACACAGAAATCCCCTAAGGTTGTACTTGATTCACTGCTGAATCAAAGTGTCTCATTCTAAAGAACTGCAGCTGTTCTGTGTCTGCACGCTGCATCTACGCTACTCAAAAAGCTAAACAGGTGCTTGACTCTTCTTTTCCACAGTTTAATTTGTCTTGGTCTTGTTATCAGGCTAGAAGATCACAAATTAGCATGATAGTATGCTTTATAGTACTATTCTCTTACACCAAATACAGAGAATTTTGCTTGTATCTAAAACTTGAATTATGGTTCTTCATTATCAAGAAATGCTTTACATACATCTGATGATGCAGAAAGTTACAGTCTTATAATCAGTATGAATCATTAAAGGTAGAGTTAGGAAATCCTCTTTGATGATCTGTATTATTCTGTATTTGATGGAGTCTTTTCTACATTTGGCTAACAAACTTGTTCAGCAAAAAATCAGTTTTGATCTGCTCTTTTACCTCTTTTATCCCAACTTTTTCCTTGTTGCTCTAACATAGTCTATTGCTAATTACTACATTACTGACTATTACTAATTGCTATATTATGTAACTACATTTTCTGCCTTTTTGTAGGTCATTATTTTTTTTCCTAATAAAACAAATAAAATGAATCTCAAGATAGTTAGAGGTTTAAATGTGCATCAGCTAGTTGTCAGTCTCTGTTTTACCTTTGTTCCTAAAGAAAGCCATAATTTTTCATTGCTGCAACTCCTTTACATCAGTGGCCAGATTTCTCTGTAGTGGCTAACATTAACCCGAGTTAATGGAATTCTCTCTTGATGCCACACTGATTGCAAACATTTCTAGGGTTCTTTATACCACAAGTATCTTCTCTCTTTTTTTTCTCAGTAATAACAAAGCTTTTTAACTCTCCTCAGCTGATCCACTGTGCATGTTCTAGTCATGGGGCAATGAGAGAAGAATGACAGGATATCTCCCACCCTGCATCCTCAATTTGTCAGTGGGAATTCCTGTATCTGAGCACTGGTGGGAGTGGCCAGGGGAAGATGCTGCTCACCAAAGACAGCACTACCAATTTGTGTGCCAGAATAATGAGAGTAAGAAAGCAGGAAGCAAGGAAGAGAGGTTCAGAGAGGTTTGATGAGGTAGTTTGGGAAGTGACTCCAAAAGCCAGTTCTACAAAATGTGAACTGTGTGAGTTCAGCATGTGGCTTGCTCAGCTCCCATTTTGGCCCTTCCCTCTTCACAGTACATCTTGCTTAACAATTTAGAGCTGGGAAGCATAGCTCTTATGCAAAACAATAAACTAGTCACAGAAAGATTCTTGAGGGAAATTAGACAAATCAGGCTGGTGTTGCAGAGGCACAGTATGGTGAATGGCTCGTTTTGCCTCTTGTGGAACACTCTTCTGCTACTGAGCATTTTTTCTTTATTTCCATAATTCAGGTTTTCCAGTATGTCAGCATCTACCAGCACTGCAATTCAGACTTTAGTATATATATCCTATTTAGTACAAGTTTACTAGTACCCAATAAGCAGAAATAAATAGTTGTTCCAATACCAGAAATTAATTTACCTAATCTTTAGCACCTACAATGTTTTTCTCTCATCTGCTTAGCTGGAAATATTTATATGAAAGTTAATATATTTCTTAGTTTCCATATGTCTGCCCTGAAACCACACTCTGGCAGCTTCTGAAGGAAGTTATTAAAGGAAATGTCTTTTGCACCCTACTAAACTAATGTGTACAGCATATTATGGAAGCAGAATAATTATTGTTCCAAAAATAATGAGGCATGTTTAAGAATAGTGGAAATACAATATTTATCAATCATAATAGGGAGAATCAATTTCATATTTCAGCAGCTTCTGAGAACACTGAGGTTTAGAATTAAACTTTTCTCACAAACTTCTTCATGTAGGACTGTGCACCACAGAAGGGTATGTACCTTCCTCTAAAGCCTCTAGTACTGACTTTCAGAGGTAGAACAAAGCTAGAGACATATAATACAGGATGCCTACTTAATGTTTCAATATTTAATAGCACTTCTATTTTTATAGGTTTTGCCTTCTAAGCAAGGAAAAATATTGGATATTTTTTTCTTAAAGTAATGAAGAGGGACATAAAGATGCTGTTGGCCTGTTGACTTCTATTTAAAGATAGAAATAAAAAATGTGCTGGCTTTTCTGAATGTGGCTTAATGCCTACTTAATGATATTTTTCTCAGGCGCAGCACTCATGAGTGCCAGCTTGTGCCAGTTGAGAAGTGTAAAAGAATCGAAGTTAGTGTACACTGCACAGACCATTACAATCAGCATTCAACATACACATTTCAGTTCATGATTCCAAAAGAATTTTCATAGAAACCAGGTAGATAAATTTTACTTACTCATTTTCTGTCTCTAGGTAATATAGGAATTTAATTAAGAGGAATTGAAGCAATTGTAATAAAAAAGTGAAGTCAGAACTCTCATATGACTTATGAGATTTATGGTTCTTACATGGCTTTGAAACTACACAATTCTAAGAATGTATGTTGAATTACTACATATATGTGAATATTCAATGTCTGGTTTCATAGGTTCATTGATAGAATAAATAACTCACTTTCAAATACTGGAACTACACTTAAGCAGAAGAATAAATTAACTGTTTATTTCTGGAGACATTGTTTGATGAGTGCAATAAATAAACCACCATATTCATAAAATAATTCCATTTATAACTTTCCTCTTTAATACATTCCAATAATACTGAAGGCAAAATTTTAATTAAAAAGATAAAAGATGTAGAGTGATGCCCATAATATGGTGTAGGTGAAATGGAAAAACAAGGGTAGTAAATACTTCCTTAGGTAGTCATGTTCTATCTCACTCCTTTACATGAGAACCAATTTAATCTGCACCAGTCCTACTTCTGACTCAAATTTCAGTTAAGCATTGAGGGAGCAGGAAAATCAGCAGATTAAGGCTGGTTATACATACAGTACATAAAGTTATATTTTTGTGGTACATACAATCACAACACTTACGATAAGGTCCACTCACAGTATTATGCTCATCTCTTAAAAGTAACACCTTTCATAGCCGACAATATAGAAATGCTTTCCATAAGTGTCAAAATAAAAGAAAAAGCTGAACACGACAGTATCCAAGTCCCTCTTACATGTTAATAAACATTCCTATGTCTTGTGCAGTTAAAACTACATTTTCAAAATACCCAAATAACCATGCAGCACATCTACAGTGTTTTAAAGTATCTTAAGCCATTTTCACAGTCTTGGTTTTGTCAATTCTATTTTCATTATTAAGGCTTTCCATTTGGAAATGGACTTTGCTGTAGCACTTCTATTTTCCCACACTGAAATATATATCCTAGAAAGTAATTATATGAAGTGAATTAATCTACATTATTTGCAGAACAAATAATTAATTATAATAATAATTAATAAATAATAAAATTGATAGTGTATTTGCATTCAAATACTAAGTGTCTCTTTTTACAGTAGCTTTGCCAATCCTGGGAGTAAGGAAAAAAAACCTGAAAATAAAAGTCTAAACCAGATTTCTTTTCCTCAGTCAAATTTTATGGGTCAGAAGTCTCGTGTTTTCCACTTAAAATGCGACCCCAATTAATGAAGTCTTTTAGAGGACACTAAATTATTTTTGTATAATAGAAATTTAAATTGAAAATATCTTGATTACTTTAATTAACATACTCTATATGACATGACCCTGTTCCAGATAGCAGGAAATTTTGGATAGTATATTTAAGGTTATACTACTACATAGATATTCAGATTCTTGGCAATCTGCCACAGCTAGGGTAAAAGCTTTTGTTACTGTATAAAATACTTTTCCAAGTGCTAAAAAGCCACTATTAAACTAAGTAACACTGCATCTTCAAGTTTTCAATGGATCAAGATAACTCCTTTCAACTATATGAAAGCCATAGACAAGTTTCAATAGCTCTCATGCCATCCATCACTCAATAAACATCATTTTTCCTACTCTTTGAGTTTTTAAATCATGGCACTATTGTTCATTCTGATAGACTGCTTCTTTCATTTGCTTTAACTTATCCTTCTTAAATTTTAATAAAGAACACTGTGTGTTAAGAGTTTTGCTGCACATTTCCAAAATTTTATTATAAACACACAAGAAACTTTTACTGAAGAAACAACCTGGCACTCATCTATTACTTTCTAATAGAATGTTGGATATTTCAGTTTAGCATATTTTGTTGCTTTTCAAAACAAAACTCCCTTGCCTTAGAATGATAATCTTGTTCCAGCCTGGAATCTGATCCTGCTACCTGTTTGTACTTGCTCATTTTCATTTGGCGACTTCTTTCTTCTACATCCAGTGCACCTGTTAAGTTAAAAACAGAAGGAAAAAAAGAAAATAAATACACAAACAGTCATCATTTCCAAGGCTAAAATTATGCTCATGAAAGTTTTAACAGAAACAGACGAAATTTTAGTTACTTAAATTCCGTGCATGTAATTTTAGTTCCTGAATTATGATTTTGCAGAAAACCAAAAAATTGTAACAGGAGGAAAATAGCAGATAAGTATTTCAACAGTATCTTAATAAGTGTTGTATTATCTATGCAATTCAAATGAAACTAGCTTTATGAAAAGAACTCAATATAAATGAAACACAGTGCTTCCATGGAATATAATTTTACTATTTTAAGAGTATTCAAGAGAAATTGAGGTTTTTATTTAATAAGGAGGAATGCAAAGATAACCTGCTTATTTTGGGTAGAGATTCTGGTTCTGCATTTATTATAATCTGACATATCAAATTAATAATCAAGTAACAGCCAGGGACTAGCAGACCTTCCATTTACTATTTGAGTATATTCTCAGTATGCTCAAAAAATTCAAAGAATGACTATAGAAATCTTAAGGAGCCACCCAGTGGCATCACTGTATTACATTTTAATGAAACACAGCTTCAAGAACAATTTCAGAAGTCACTCTTCTTGGTTAACATATGTGATTAGCTTTAGTCAGGGGTAGGGTCTCACTACATGACCAGGCAGTAGCTGGTTTCAACAAACTGGTGCTGTACCACAATTTGCAAGGTAAAATAATAAGGAAGTGCCAAAGCTAAGGTGGAAGACTGATAAATAGAAAATGAGAGGAAGACAACAGCTCAGAAAAGATTTTCAAATAAAATGTAATTAGCTATGATACACACATAAGTATGATTCTTTTTCACTTTAACCTGGTATAAGTCAAGAATAAATCATTATCCACCGAATGCTAAAAAGCATTCATTTTGAATGACGTTTGTCTTAAAATATCCAACATTTTAATGCAAAAGTTGTCTAGGATAAAAATTTCAGAATCCCACTAATCTTAAACAGAAGTTTCTGTACACTGTAAGTAATGAGCGATATGGACTGCATTTATGGACCTGGGATGGGAATATTAGATTCCAGTGTACTACAGAAACCTGGTTTAAACTCTAAACCTCAGTTGTAAGTCATGCTCTAACAGCAATGTGGGGCTTGGCACAGAACCTGGGCCTTTCAGATTTGTGTTTTCTTTCTTGAGAAAAATAGGGGTATTACGACATACTATGAGAGCTGCCAGGTAGATGTTGTGGCACTTCATAGGAAATCTGGAAGGAGAGGAGGTAAAAGGAAATGGGAATGCAAAAACACTAAGCTGTTCTGTTCTCTATAAACACTCTGACTTTTAGATTTTGTATTCTGACTCTATCTTTACACCCTACAACAGCATGAAAGAAAAGACTCCATCAAAAATTCTAAGATAAATTAAAATTAATAAAAATAATGAGAAAGAATAAATGGCATCTTATATGGAGAAATAAAATAAAAAAGAAAGCAGCAGATGATAATTTCTAATATAAAATACAGTTCATTTTTCCTATCATAATTTTCCTCAACCATTATATAACCCTTAGCAGTGTTTGTCAATTTATTATTATGATGAAGTGAATTTTTTAGGATCTAGTTTTAAAAGCTCTAATTTTTTTTTTCTCTTGAAAACAAAAAGTTACACTGGAAGATATTTTCTGTTTTCAATGACAGAAGTAACACATGCTTTCTTTGAAGTAAAATATTCCAGCCTCCTCTGGAAGAAAGAAATCATCTTTTGCTGAAATCAAAATCTTCTTGCCATTTTTCAGTAATGTAGGAAAGGAGACATTTTTCACAAAAAGGGACATATTTTCATTTTTTCTTATGTTTTATTATGAAATAATGGCATGTTTTCTTTGTCTCCAGACATTCTGACAAATTTTAGGGAAGTGCAAATGAAGAAATAACAATTCCTGAGCATAAATTAGAAACTTCACAATTACTTGAAAAAAATATCCATTCTTATCTATGATCAGTTGGCAAAGTGAAAGTTATATTTCCATAAATCCAATTACCAATTATATGTACAAAATATACAAGGCCTCTGCAACAAAACAAGCAAAATTTGTAGCTTATCTTTTCTCAAGAGAAAAACAAGACAGAAAAATGTTGAAAAAAAATTATTCAACTCCCATAAAATCTTATCAAAGGAAAATCTAACTTCCTTTGTATTTTTTTAAACTCTCTTTAACAAGTGAGTGAATTCAGTTATGAGCAAAAGGAGGAAAACCCGAGGGCAGTGGATAGTTCATGATGCAGAAGAAAGCTCGGGCTCTACTGTGACATGCAGAGAGTGCAGGGTTTCTGTGTGCCCCGGGCTGAGCTCGCTGTAACTTCAGCCAGATGCAGCTGTGACCTGCATGGCAGCAGGAGGGGCTGGAGAGTGTCATGGCACTTCCCATTTCCATGCCCAGCATGAAAATGTCACACTGAGTAGTGGGAATGCAGGGTTTTCATCACCTCCACTTCTGTTGGCAAATCTCTGCTTAGCTCACACCTATGTGGGAGGGTTTAGCAGGAGAAGAAAATATTTCTAGAAAGTTCAGTAACCATCTGGGTGCGTTAAAGCTTCAGATTTTAACATGAGTTTGGATACCAGGGTAAAACATCACTCCTACCCCAAGGATTCCTCTGCAGTCAGGAGCTGTTCTTGGAGCATGTGTCAACAAATCAGAACTAACCTGAATCTAACAATTAGTTATCAATAATGGCTAAAATGTAGGAGCATAAGCTTTCACACACCTGAATCACTCAAGGGCTGACTGAGACCTTGTGTTATTAGATCCTGAGCTGGAGCCCAGTACAACACATTTTCAGGACTATAAAAACTGGCACTAAAAAAGTTAAAGCTGCTTCTGATATACTGAAGTACTGCGACAATGCATCAAAGTGTATGCAACCAAATTTTGGCCAGGTAAAATGAGTTCATTTCTTCATGAACATCCTTCCAGAATTTTGTTTTTAAACCGTAGTTGTGCCTCCAACAGAAATAACCAATAAGACACTAAAATTCCAGCCACATGAACACAAAAAATTAAGACTGAAGGGAAAAACAAAGCCTGGTGCTGCCCAGCAGTTATAACAGGGGTCATTGGACAGTAAGCAACATTCTGAAGTTTTGGTTATTTTGAGCCCTCTAGCATTAAAAACCCATGGCCTGAAGGTTAGTTCAGTGGGGTTTTCATGGGCACAAGGCAATTCCTGGATGACAGAGAGACAACTTCTTATTCATTATCAGCTATTCCCCATATCTTCAGAAGAGAATGTGCTGAGGGAAAATAATATAGCTACAGAGCAAAGACCCCTGAAATGCCAGAGTAAGCACAGAAGTACTGTTCAGTGCAGCCCTGTAATCGCTCAGATCCACAAGGACTGCAGCAAGACTGTTGTGCCAGAGCTTAGCTCTAGTGACTACAGAAAATTAAACCTTGGGCCACACGAATTTGATGCTTGTTTCTATCTATGGAAATGCAACCACCAGACAATGAACTATAATTTCAACTTTAGCTATAGTATATTTTGTAACAAAAGCAGAGAAATTTCTCAAGATACAGACAAAAGGCTGCCTAGAGGCTGTGGGACTAAATCAGAAGAGAAGACCCCAGATGCTGCACTTAGGATTGTATGAGCAGGAGTGCAATCAGAAAATGAAGCCACCTATAGAGACTATAAAATCCAGTTACAAGCAGTAAGCAGAGCCCCAAATAAGAGGCACTCAGCTTGAACTGTAACTACTATTGCCTATAAAACATAGTAGAAAAAGGAACTCTGCTTTATTATTTTATTGAAGTGGAAGCTAGGGGATAAGCCCTATTGAGGTAAAATCCACATAATTCCTACCATGGTCTAGGTGGTGGATGTATAATTCCATTCCTACAACAGGACTCAGGACAGGCACTAAAATCACTGCTTCAGCTTAAATAAAAAAACATTATTTTCATGTTTTAACTTGAAATAAGCTAAGAAGAAACAAGATTCAGCTACTTCACCACTAAAGTGAAGGGCTGTAATGAGTGATTTGGTTAATACCTAACTTTTCCTAACCCCTGAGCTTTTCCTAACCACTGAGTCACAGTTTTACAAGGAGATAAGCAATCACTGAATTCAGCCTACAGCCAAAGACTCTTATTTGCTCTTCAGGTCAAATACTGGCTACTCTCTAGGGTAAGACTCTCCAGCTGATAGCCTGTGATCCACACCAGAGACAAAAGGGACAACAAACTGGCCTTATCATCCAGTCCAGCCTAAGGCAAACCTTTCTGGTTAAAAATCAAAATGAACCCAGCTGAGACCTCTGCTCTTTCATTCTTTCTTTCATTCTCTTCTCCAGTGGGACTTACTAAGCCATTCTAGCTCCTAGAGATGCTGGTGATGGAGATCCTATAGCAGGATCTGAGTTTGCTGTACAGTGATGCTTCTGTGACACAAAGAGTTAAAGGAAATCTGGTATGGAAGAAGAGTGGAGTTTCCCTTGTAACACTAGAACAGATTAAGTTTTGAATACATATGGACAAAAGGGATAGAAAATTTGGGAGGCACAGCCACTAAGGCATGGGGAAAAACTTATGATGAGGGGACTAAAGTCTGATAAAGTCTAGTATTTCGGAAATCAGAAACCTCTAATAGAGCAGAAAAAAGTGGGCAGGTGAGCACACTCTGTGCCTGGAGATGGGGAGACAGAACAGAGGTCTTAAAGTGTATGACATCTGCATTTAGCTGATTCTGATCTTTTTCTTACCATTTCTCACCCTTATTAGACACCCTCAAAATAGTAAAGGAAATACATTTGGGAAAGCCCTTTCTTAGGTTCCATTTCCTAGTGTCTATTTTGAAATCTGCAAAATACATCAAAATTGCACTCCAACTCTTTGCTACCTATTTGCTCAAACATAACAGATCAAAGAATATAAGGGAAAAACACAAAAATATTTTTAATAAGTCACCCTACCTGTATCCCCATTCTCTGGATCTGTTTTCTTTTCTTCTACAAACAAATGAAAGCAATATGTAAAACAAAAAGAGAGGGAGAGAAAAAAAAAAAGCAGAAATAATAATAAAAGTAATATAAAAATGCATTAAAAAGGAAAACATTAACAAAACTCACCAAATTAATATAACATAATGAATTTAGTCAACCAACCAAGTATGGTGCTCTAAATCTAGAGGCATATTCACTGCATGCTAGTGCATACATTTGTGTACTGTTATTGAACATTTACTGAAGGGAACCCATGGATATTTTGTGCACTTCCAGAATCATTAACACACTGAAGAAAAAGAGAGCAAGGCAGGTGTCAGGTAGAGTTACTTTCCAGTTTCCTTAATCAGGATGACACAAAACTAGACATAAAAAAATTTGCTTGTGCTGTAGGTTTTATGCAGTGCACACACAAGATACAGTCTAATGGTTCAGGCATAAAAATTGAATGTGTCAGAATGGGTTTTGGCAATTGCTTTAAATCTTCATTGGTTTAATCAATTCTCATAGCTTCTACAGGTTAAAAGGTTTAATAATGTTATTACTGTAACTTGTCTTAGAGTTAAAAATTATGAAGAACAAAAGACACTACAATCAATACTCAGAAACTCAGTTCATGCATATAAACTCAGCTGACTGATGGCAACTCTGAATATATATCAAAGGTTGTAACTGGCTCAGGGCATTCATCTGTCACAAAGAAATGAAAATACATTGGATCCCTATCAAATAATTTGGCAGCCCATAAATAATCTGAAATCCAGTTTTGGTAAATAATGTAAAAGAATTTTAATTTGAATGAAATTTACCTTAATTAGAAGTACATTAACTTTGAAATAGGTTCTGTTTCCTTTTCAAAACTATATTAAATTCAATTAAAACAATCCCATGAATATGGAGCAACAGTCCCCAAGCCACACACCAAAAATAGTATGCATTACTAGAACTAAATACTTTTCCAGTTATTGGTTATTGATGATTGCTCAAAAGATTATGATCTAAATTACAGTACACAGACTGAAGAAGAAAACAAGAGTTGTATTTTAAGGAAATATAGTTTTGTAGGTGGGTGTCAAAGCAGAGGATGAAGTCAAATTCAGAGAGAAATCATACTCAAGCAAGGTAGAATCATAAGAAGGAAAAATGTGTTCCTACAGAGAGGATAACTAATATACTACATTTCAATAAGATCTGGCTTCCTATTGTGTGTGGGATCAAGATTATTGTTCTACTGGCAATTTCTAGTGGAACTATTAGGCAAATAAATGGGAACCAGATATGGCAGGTCATAAGCCTACACTTTCAGCAATCAGAGAGTATTGAATCAGTTCTTGGAACTTCTCCCATTCCCTGATCTTTCCTGCCCCACACTCTACACCATATTTAAATAAGACTTTTTGCGTTCTTCTGAGTTGGCCTTTGGGCAGCCTGGCCTTACTATTTATGTGGGCTGTGGATAGTGCTAGGAAAATAGCAGAGAATGGTAGTTTTGTTTGCTTTTCAACCTTTCAATATTTTTTATTCTTCTTTTAGTTTTAAATTGCTATTACCAATATAAAATCTACAAATACAATGTCTTTTATTGTTACATTACTTTCTAAAGCAGAAAGTAATTTGATAGCAATACCACTGATCCAACATAATGCACAATAGAGGAAAGTAAATTGAGTCATTAAAACACCCATGAGCTTGAGCTCAGAGAGAATGATGACATTTCTAGGTTGGTCCATATGCATAGTGAAAATAAGTCTTTACTTTGCCTAAATGTTATCTTAATATAGACATTTTATATAGGGTAATAATTTTTAAGAGGCCTAGAAGTCCATTCATCTTTATGTCTAGATATCTTTCAAACATAAATCTTTAAATAAATATATTGTCCAAATAAAGACATTTGAAACCTGTCCATCTTTCACTCATTCTTGCTCTAGATATATGAAGTATATAGAAAAATATTTTCAAACAGGACCGTAGAAATTAATATCATAGTATTAGCAAACACAAACGTCTATTAGATTCTTGAATTTTAAGTGTAATTGAAGTGCTGTGACAAATCTCTACAGTAGATATATTCTTTAGATTTTTACTAGAAATCTCAACCTAGTGGATTCTAATCTTCAAACTGAGGTTTCATATGTATTGTGAAGAGGTGTCTGAAGAAGTACTAGAAAGGACTGAAGATTGAATTGAGAAAAATCTTACTTGGGTGGAAGCAGCAGAACTTAACAAAATAGATATTATCCATTTACCAAATAAACAATATTAATGTTGCAGCAACAAAGATCACTGCAGCCATGGGCCTATTAATCACTGCTAAAGGATTTCAGAGCAGGTTCGGGATGTTGATACTAAAGTAATTAATGCTTTTGTTTGTAATGTGTTCAAAACAAAAAAGCTCTAAGGAGCCTAAATGTCTTGAAACTGCTGAAAACCCACAAATCACTATGAAATTATTTTAAAATGTCTCAAACTGAAAAATATGAGAAGAAAAAATCATTAGTCGTTCCTAAAAAATCTTGATCTGATTTGTTTTATATATGACCATTATCATCTCATTAGTCATTCTTTTTCTACTTATTTTGATTTACAAAGTGAAAAACATATATTGTGTCCTGTGGTGTAATATTCTCAATTCAAGAATTAATTTTTTTCAGAGCAAAGTACTTTGGAGAAAATAAATAAATGCTTTCATGAAGGAGATGTTTCTGCACATTACAGAAAATAACTGCATGTTTTCTGCTTGATCAGAATGCAGATATATTTAGACATGTGGATGAAATATAGAAATTAACTATAGATTGAAATGCTAAACTATTCTCTCTCAAAACCTTTTTCTACCATCACAGTAGACATTGCTGTTATAATGACCACTGGCATTTTATTTAATACTAGGCATAGCCATGTTCCCATGGTCTAACTCCCTGTTTTTTCTAACTGGTCCTAATACAGCTGAGAGATATCTAACAATCTAATATGTATCTGAAAGACAAAATGAATAGAAAATACAAGAGCCTCATTCAAGAGCAGACTTGTCAAGAACTAAAACTTATCTAAAATGGACTTGATTTTCTTGGAAATGTCTTAATTCAATGAGCTTTGCTCTTCTGATGAGTACCTGGGGGTACCAGGGCCCCATCACACTTCACCCACGTCACACCAAGAGGTCTCACGTAGCAGGCCCTCCAAGTTCCTTGGAACTCATGAGAGAATAGAATAACAGCTCCATAGAAGAAGTGGGATAGCAGATTTCTCCCTTGTCATGGATACTGATGACAGTATTGAACAGTTGCTCAAAAATTCCTGATGGCAGCATTGAACAATTGCTCAAACTTGCTGGCTTCCTGGTGAAGATCAGGGGCAGCCTGATTCTTCAGCCTTAAGGTTACAACTGAGAGGTGCTGGACTTCCCAGGGTTTTCTCCCTTCTCTCACAGCTGACTGCTCCAAACTTAAGGTTAGATCCTGGTTCTGCCTTGACCTTTCTCTTCTCACTCACCTGGAATCCAGGTGAATGAGATTTACATAAAACTGAGCAGAGGCCTAAAATAAATCTTGACCTCCTTGCTTTGAATTAAAAAAATTGCAGCTTCCAATGCTGGAGGATATGCATGTCATTGCAAAAGACAGATATGGAAGTCCTTGTTTGTTTCTGAGTTTAGGCATAAGATATGACAGTGACATAAAAGATTCTATCTTTCTATCTTTCATATTTGCAGACACTTAATATCAGCAATATGACTAGGAATTCTATTTATACAGTGGATAAATAGAATTCTACTTATGTGCCTTATTAAAAATTGAGTCTGATTTCTCAAGGCAGTCCAAACTATTAAATAACATTTTATTTTTAGAATTGAATATACATGTAGTACCCCAACTTTGAGTAAGTACGTAAAAAAATACTAGTTGAATTTCTTACTAGAGATTTCTCTTGAAATGCTATTCATGAGAATATGGGAAAATCAATTTTATTCTGAAAAAAAAAAAATCTCTAAAACAACATCACAAAATCACAGAATATTCTAAGCTGTAAGGGACCCATAAGGATCATTAAGTCCAACTCCTGGCCCTTTATAGGACAAGAGTTTCACCATGTGCCTGAGAGTATTCTCCAAAGACTTCTTGCACTCTGTCAGGTTTGGTGCTGTCACTCTTGGGGAGCCTGTTCCTGTGCCCAGTCACCCTTGGGTGCAGAACCTTTTTCCAATAACCTAAGCCTCCCCTGACACAACTTCAGACCATTCCCTTGGGTCCTGTGACTGGGCACCACAAGGAGAGATCAGTGTCTGCCTCTCCTCTTCCCCTCACAAGGAAGTTGTACACCTGCACAAGGTCTTCCCTTCAGTCACCTCCAGGCTGAACAGACCAAGTCACCTCAGTCATTCCTTGTATGGCCCCTGCACCATCCTGATAGCCCTGTTATCAAATCAGGCAAAGGAAAGAAGATTGTCTCCTAAAAATAAATCATAATATGTAGAAGTATTTGCTTTGAACATCAAAACTTACCAGTTAAAGGTCTTGTACTCAAAGGATTACATTACCTCCTGTTTGCTGAGCTATTAAATTCCAAGTCTACCTCTAAGGAATTAGCTCTAAATTTTGTCATTCTGGCTTTCAACAGTTTGAAAAATATAACTGCCTATCTGGTACAGGTCTAGCAAAGTATCAGATGCTGTGATATAAATGGCTACTGAATTTTACTCCAGGACTTTATGTCCAATTTGCAGCAAATATTAAAAAAAATACTGTTGCAGCAAACATTTCTTTCCAAGTCTATGATCCACATCACAGTCTGAATGAAAAGAAAAAATAATTAATGGTTGTTGAAGTGTTCCTTAACTTAATATTATTTGTATATTCTTGATACTTAATATTACTGTTTAAATTTATCTTATTTCCCTTAAAAGTGAGTGCTTAAAAGAAGACTATTTCAGCCAGCCAGCTTCCTAAAAGGGAACAGGCTTCACATTCTTGTTTTCTATTTGAGGATGGCTTGACAGCTTTTTT